ACTGGCAGCCTGGGCGACAGAGTGAGACTCTGTCTCAATTAAAAAAAAAAAAAAGCCAAGGCGCGGGTGGCACACGCTCTGTAATCCAACCTTTGGGAGTGCCCAAGAATGGATAATGGATAATCTTTCTAAAAAATGGTGCTGGAGTAATTATAAATCCACATGCAATAAAGTGAACCTCAACTGTTATCTCATACCTCATACAAAAAGTAATCTGAAATGAATCATAGGCTTTCTAAACATAAGATTAAACCACAAAATTTCTACAAGAAAATATAGGTAAAATCTTAGTGACTTTGGGTTTGGCAAAGACTTCTTGAATATGAAAGAAAAAGCACAAACTATTAACAAGAGAAAAAAATAAACTAGACACATCATTAAAATGAAAAACTTTTGGTTTTGAAAGACAGTTATAAAAACAAAAAAGGCAGGCCAAACTGGGAGAAAATATATGCAAAACTTCTGATAATGGACTTGAATATATAAACAACTCTTAGAATGCAATAATAAAAAACAATCTAATAAAAAGGGGCAAATGATTTTAACAAACATGTCAACAAAGACACACGGATGGCAAATAAGCACATGAAAATATGCCAACATTATTGGTCACTCAAAAAAATACAAACTAAACCCACGATAAGATACTGTTAAACTCACTATAATGGCTAAAATTTTAAAAGACTGACCACACATCAAACGATGGTGAGGGTGTACAGCAACTAGAACTATCAAACACTGCTGGTGGCTGGGCGCGGTGGCTCAAGCCTGTAATCCCAGCACTTTGGGAGGCCGAGACGGGCGGATCATGAGGTCAGGAGATCGAGACCATCCTGGCTAACACGGTGAAACCTTGTCTCTACTAAAAAATACAAAAAAATTAGCCGGGCGAGGTGGTGGGCGCCTGTAGTCCCAGCTACTCGGGAGGCTGAGGCAGGAGAATGGCGTGAACCCGGGAGGCGGAGCTTGCAGTGAGCCGGGATCGCGCCACTGCACTCCAGCCTGGGCGACAGAGCGAGACTCTGTCTCCAAAAAACAAACAAACAAACAAAAACACTGCTGGTAAGAATGTAATGGTAGAATCACTTGAGAAAACAGTTTGGGTGTTTCTTAAAGATAGATATATACCTACCATATGATCTAGCCATTCCACTCCTAGGTATGAACCCAAAAAATGGAAATGAATGCCCATATAAAGACTTGTACACAAATATTCATGGCAGCTTTATTTGTAAGCCAAAAACTGGAAACCCAAATGGATAAACAAATTATGATATATCTACATCATGAAATGTCATTCACTAACAAAAAGAATGAACTATTAATACACGTGGTAACATGCATGAATCTCAAAATAATTACACTGAATCAAAGAAACTATAAAAAAAGAAATAGTACTTACTGTATGATTGTATTTAGATAATATTCTACAAAATGCAACCCATCTTCAGTGACAGAAAGCAGATTAATGATTGCTGGGGAGGGAATGAAGTACAAAGGCACATGAGGAAACTTTGAGGTGATGAATATGCTCATTATCTTGATTGTGATAATGGTTTACAGGTGTATACATATGTAGAAACTCATAATTGTTACTTTAAAGTTATGTGCAGTTTCCTGTATGTCAATTAGACCTTCAAGTAATGTTTCTTATAGCTTTAAGAAAAACCTGGGTCAAAAGAGCAAGAGTCAATGATATTCTAAGTTCAGTTAATGAAAACCAAATTATTTGGAAGGATAATCCTTCTTGTTAATTCAGTCAACAATACTTGGGAATGTAATATTGCTGGGCACAATCAAGACACTGCGATTATAATAAGAATGAGCTAAGACCACATGGACAATGTCAAATTGAAGCAGAGAACTTAAGAAGTCAAGCCAAAAAAAAAAAACAAAAACAGGGGAAAAGCACTCTAGGGCAGAGGCAACAGTAAGTTCAAACAGATCACGAGGTCAGGAGTTCGAGACCAGCCTGGTCAACATGGTGAAACCCCGTCTCTACTAAAAATACAAAAATTAGGCGGGTGCGGTGTAATCCCAGCTATTCGGGAGGCTGAGGCAGGAGAATTGCTTGAAACCATAAGACAGAGGTTGCGGTGAGCCAAAATCGTGCCACTGCACTCCAGCCTGGACAAAAGAGCAAAACAAACAAAAAAAAGTGACCTCTTACTTGGTTCAGCCTCTCGTCACCAACTAACTCTCTTGTGCCCTCTACCGCTCAGGTGATTTCATTTAAATGCAGTTCAACTCAGAAAATAAAGGGAAACATTCCTAGATTTTAGTAATCTACAACACCCTGCTCTATTCTATCATCGAGCCCTATTCCATTCTTGGCCCTGTGACCAGCATACAGGACACAGAGGTCACAGTCTGGTGGGGGATACAGACTTCATGCCATTATTGGTATGACAAGAAACATTCCTGGAACAGGAATGACTTTGAGCCAGGCACTCTGCCAAGCACATTGTATACATGAACTTGTAGTCCTTCTGACAGCCATTACAAATGGATCTGCATTTACAGAAGATTCAGACTCACAAACATGATTGGTTTAAGGTCACAATTTAATAAACATGGAATATGGATTCTGAACTAAGATCTGTCCCCCCTCTAAAGCCAATTCTTTCTTTCCTACTACACTATGCCAAAATAAACCAAGTGGTGTGGAACACCGAAATGGGAGCATCTAAATCTAATTTGAGTGTGTGTGGTTGTTGTGTCTGGGAAGACTTTACATAGAAGAGTATTTCTGATTTGGGTCAAAAAGGGTGGTCCAGGCATCAAGAGCAGAGGTAAACAGGAAGACAAACTTGAGATCTATTCAGAGAACAGAAGGTTGGTGGCATGTGGGGGAAGAGAGGCAGAATATAAGGCTAGAATCAGATTGCGCAGGATCTTGAAGGCCATCCTAAAGAAGATGACCTCAAACCAAAGTTCAAGGATTCCCATCCTGGGTCATGGGATTCCCATACTGAAGAGTCCCCTAAAGTGATCAGGGTACGAGAAACCACAGGTAAATGTGGTATATTGCCTGAAATGTCAATTTTACTCAAAGGCTTAGGGGGAAAAGGCAATTTTCTGTTATCCTATGAAAGATGTATTATGGGGAATTGAATGTAAAATCATATGAATTTAAAAAATAAAACTGGGATTTCAGACATTATTGGCTGCCCTCCAATAAATACGTAGTTGGAAATAATCCATTCTTTGCTGCCATTGGGGATAGCTTAGTAATGGAGCCATTTGGAAAGCATTGTTATAGGCAATGGGAAGTCATGGATTTAGCTCCATTGAGAATTCAAAAGTAGGGCTGGATGGGATTCAAAGATGAATGGGAAGTCAGCCGGGCATGGTGGCTCATGCCTGTAATCCCAGAAACTTTGGACCGAGGCCAGCAGACCACCTGAGGTCAGGAGTTCGACACCAGCCTGGCCAATATGGTGAACCCTGGTCTCTACTAAAAATACAAAAAAAATTAGCCAGGCGCATGGTGGTGGGCGCCCTGTAATCCCCAGCTACTCAGGAGGCTGAGGCCACGAGAATCACTTGGACCTGGGAGGCAGAGGTTGCAGTAAGCTGAGACGGCGCTATTGCACTTCAGCCTGGGCAACAAGAACAAAACCCTGTCTCAAAAAAAAAAAAATAAAAAATAAGAAGAGGACATAAGGAAAGTCACTGTCTTAGGAGAACTTTCCATCTAGGCTTTATGGAACTGATGATTCTTAGCAGGAACAGGAGCGGGAAAACAAAGCAAAAAGTAGGTAAACTTCCTCTCCTCCCCATCTCCTTGACATGTTCCTTTTCTATCTCATTCATTTTTTTTTTTTTAAAGACGGAGTTTTGCTCTTGTTGCCCAGGCTGGAATGCAATGGTGCAATTTCGGCTCACATGCAACCTCCACCTCCCAGGTTAAAGCAATTCTCCTGCCTTAGCCTCTCGAAGAGCTAGGATTACAGGTGTGCGCCCTGTAATCCTGTATTTTTAGTAGAGACCCCTGCTAATCTTGTATTTTTAGTAGAAACAGAGTTTCACTAGATTGGCCAGGCTGGTCTCGAACTCCTGACCTCAGGTGATCCACCCGCCTCGGCCTCCCAAAGTGCTGGGATTACAGGCGTGAACCACCGCACCCGGCCTCATTCATTTATTCATAAAAAAAAAAAAAAAATTATTGCATACCAACTCCCTCACTGTGTGACCTTGGATAAATTAATTTCTCTGTACTTTAGTTTTCTTATCTGTAGAACGGGGATAATAATAATACCTTCCCCACAGTATCACTGTGAGTGTAAGTTTACAGTGACATGATATATAATGAGAATTAAATGAGTTAATTCATATAAAGCTCTTAGAGCCTGGAACAAAGTTCAGCACTGTTTGAGTACTAGGTGTTATAACAGTGACGTTGCTACACCCTTCACTGCTACTGTGTTCCAGTTAACCTCTCCCACAGCCATTCATTGCTTAGGTAATTCGTGTTGGTGGCCAAGACAGGTCTGGGAAGAAAAGAGATGAATCAGACTGCCCACTGCACTTTGTCCAGCTACACCTGGCACATATAGAAGGTCCTCTAGGCCGGGCGCGGTGGCTCAAGACTGTAATCCCAGCACTTTGGGAGGCCGAGGCGGGTGGATCACGAGGTCAGGAGATCGAGACCATCCTGGCTAACATGGTGAAACCCCGTCTCTACTAAAAATACAAAAAACTAGCCGGGCGTGGTGGCGGGCGCCTGTAGTCCCAGCTACTCGGAGGCTGAGGCAGGAGAATGGCGTGAACCTGGGAGGCGGAGCTTGCAGTGAGCCGAGATCGCGCCACTGCACTCCAGCCTGGGTGACACAGGGCGAGACTCCGTCTCAAAAAAAAAAAAAAAAAAAAAAAAAAAAGAAGGTCCTCTAAATGCTTGCTGAATGGATAAGCGAATGTCTTCCAATTGAACTCCAAGTTCTTTGAAGGCAGGGACTATATTCCTAGCTGTCATAATCCTAGAACAATGCACCTGGTGAGGCACACTGTAGGCGCTGAGGGATTATACATGGACAAATGACTGCAGGTGGAAAACCACTAAGGCTACAAAGCGAGCATTGATAAGGTGCTGCAGAGAGACCGCTCCCAGTTTCAGGAAGGGGGTTAGCCTTGGAAGCGTGGCTGCCCAACGGCGTGAGGGCTGCTGGGAAAGACAGGCTCGCCTGGCTCGCCAGGGGATCCCGGGAGAGTGCAGCGGGCTGCGTCAGCCCCACGACCCGCCCCCTCCGCCGGCTCACGTGACCGTCTCTGGGCAGCGCAAACCATGGCGGGCTTGGTGGACTTCCAGGATGAGGAGCAGGTTAAGTCCTTTTTGGAGAACATGGAGGTGGAGTGCAACTACCACTGCTACCACGAGAAGGACCCGGACGGTGAGCGCCTCCAGCGCAGCCCGGCGACGCGTCGGGGAGAGGCGTGCCGGGAGGGGTCGGGTCTGCGACCTCTGAGAGGCTGGAGAAGGAATCACGTGGCTGGCGGGGGACGGGGGTCTGTGGATCGCGGTGACTGCGTGTGTTGGGAAGGGCGATGTGTCCCGGGAAGACTGAGCCTGGAGGCCGGGGCGGGTAGGAAGAGACGTGCTGGGGCTTTTGGGTTAGGAACTGGGGATCTATCGGTGAACAGATGAAATTCGCTGCCCTCGTGGAGCTTCCAAGCTAGTGCGGGGAGTCGGGCAATAAGCCTCAGGTAATTCATGAAATCGTGTTCGAAAGTAGTAAGTACCTGCCGGGCGCGGTGGTTCACGCCTGTAATCCCAGCACTTTGGGAGGCCGAGACGGGTGGATCACGAGGTCAGGAGATCGAGACCATCCTGGCTAACACGGTGAAACCCTATCTCTACTAAAAATACAAAAAATTAGCCGGCCGTGGTGGCAGGCGCCTGTAGTCCCAGCTACTCGGGAGGCTGAGGCAGGAGAATGGCGTGAACCCGGAAGGCGGAGCTTGCAGTGAGCGGAGATCGCGCCACTGCACTCCAGCCTGGGCGACAGAGTGAGACTCTGTCTCAATAAATAAATAAATAAGTAAATAAGTAAATAAATAAAGTAGTAAGTGCCGTGGAAAAGGACTGGGTGAAGGGTATCAGGAGGGCAGAAGGGCAGTTTTAAATTGAGTGATCAGGGAAGATCACTGAGAAAGTGGCAATTGAATAAAGGCTTGAAGAAGGTAAGGGAGTGAACCATGCAGATCTTACCATAGGTAACAGCTGGCAAAGAGGCCCTGAAGCACAAATGTGTCCCGTGTGTTGTGTGAACACTGAATTGACTTGAGAGTATAGGTGGATGGTGATGACCAGAGGGGTCCACCCAGAGCAGCCAATAGCTTTCGGTGGTTTTCTTCTTCCTGCTTTATTTTTATTTTTTATATTTTCTTTCTTTTTTGAGATAGTATCTCACTATGTTGTCCAGGCTGGTCGCAACTCCTGGGCTCAAGTGATCCTCCCGTTTTTTTTTTTTTTGTT